AACAAGCTGAATAAACTATTAAATTACCATTATTGTTGTTTTTAATCCACTAGAGAGCTGAGGAGGCAAAGAATCCTAGCTGAACCAAATTCCAAAAAGTGACAAGACCTTCCTAAGAGAAAAGAGACACATGTCTACTCTCACTTCTGGCAGAGTAGAAGGAGAAGAAATATGACATTAAAGGATATAAAGAAAGAAGCCAGCCAAAACCTGAATGAACTAATGAACATGGGCCAGCTGGCATGACAGATACCATTCCAAGAAGACCCAGTCAGACAGCAAATCTACACTCACAGAAACTCTAGAGAAAAGAGACACATGTCTACTCTCACTTCTGGCAGAGTAGAAGGAGAAGAAATATGACATTAAAGGATATAAAGAAAGAAGCCAGCCAAAACCTGAATGAACTAATGAACATGGGCCAGCTGGCATGACAGATACCATTCCAAGAAGACCCAGTCAGACAGCAAATCTACACTCACTCAGAAACTCTTTCCCACACATCTCCATATATACTACACTAAAGGCCAAGAGCAGGGCTGAGAGATCCTCCTGGGTGTGGGGGCCATCCTGAAATGAAGGCAGCATCTCAGAAGGCTGGAGGAAAGAGGAGCTGAGAAAAATCCCTCCAAGTCACTTCAGTCTGGACAGCTTGCAGCTACCCTCCCAGAGCCAAAGGCAGAGTAGGAGAACAGAGAGAGATAATCTATAATGCAAAAAAGAGCTGGCAGCTGAACTGAAAATTAGAGATAAAATTCCTGTGATTCAGAAAGCTGATGACTTTGCTTCAAAACACAAAGATATCTCTGAAATCGTGTCAGTATGCAGATGTTAGAATTATCAGAGAGGGATTATAAAATAATTATAATAACAGTGGAAAAGATGGACCACATGCGTGAAGAGATGAGAAATTTTAGTAGAGAAATAGAAACTGGAAAAAAGCTTAAAAAATATGGAAATGTACAATGTTATCAGAGATGAAGACTTCATTAGACAATTGGACATGGAGGAAAAGATCAGTTCACTGGAAGCCGGGACAACAGAAAATATCCATACTGGAATATAAAAAGAAAAAAAAAAAGCAGAAAATTCATTATCTGCAAATTAATAGTAAACAGTCAATATTCATGTAAAACTAGTTCCAGGAAGAGAGGAAAGCAAGAAAATAGAAGAAGAAATATTTTTTAAAAACATCAGATGAAAGCTTTCCAAAATTTAAGAGAATCATCTTCCCGTAGATATCAGAAGTTCAATAAAACTAAAGCAGAACAAATCCCAAGAAAAATCACATCTAGGCACATTATAAACAAAATGTGGAAAACCAAAGATAAAGAACAGATTTTAACAGCATCCTGAGGAAAAAGGATATATTACATCGACAAGAGCAACAATACGGTTGATCTCTGACTTTTTATCAGAGAGTAAGAGGCCAGAACAAAGGGGAAATGCACCTTTAAATTGCTGAAAGAAAAAAAATTAACCTAAAAATTTATATTCAGCAAAATGTATCTTTAATAATAAAAGAGAAAAACATTTTAAACTGACAAAAATTTGACATAATTGGTTCCTAGCATACCTGTACTACCTATACTAGAAAAAATACTAAAAAAGACAGAAAGAACATAACAAATAGTACCCTGTATCTGCAGGAAGAAATGAAGTGTATCGGAAATGGAAAATATTTGAGTAAAATATAAAATATTTTCATATAGATTTATGTGTTATTAAATATATATTAAAGATATACAGATATATAATTTAAAACAAAAAGAATATAGTTAGTGTTTATAACATATGTAAACTAAAGCTAATGCAATCAGAGCACAAAAACTGGAATTAAACTGTTTACGATTCATAAAGAAGTATACCATTATTCGCAAGTGGACTGTGATAAAGATACATATACTCTCTATTATAGAGTAACCACTAAATGCACCTGCACACACATTCACAGACACAAAGAGGTATACATAAAAGGCCAAAAGAGAAGTAAAATTAAGTATGAAAAATGCTTGACTCACCCAAAACAAGGCAAGAAAGAACACATTTTAAAAATTAGATAAATAGAAAATAGCAATGTTGTATATTTAAACCCTACAATATCAATCATTGTCAGACTGAAAAAAAGCCAAGCCCAATAGATGCTATTTATAAGAAACAGTAAAGTGTTGAAAGTAAAGAAGTAAGAAAGGATGTACATGCAAACACTAAGCATAATACATCTGGTGTGGCTTTATTACTATCAAACAAAAAAGACATCAAGACAAAGAAAGTGAAGATGAAGATAAAGAGGGCTATTCCAAAACGATGAAAGAATCAATTAACAAGAAGATATAACAATCCTAAAGGTGCTTGAAATTAATAGAATATTTAATATCAAATATTAATGTTGATATTTAATACTAACCAGTAACTTGAACTAAATGACACTTATAGATATTACACTTAATACACATTAATTTTGAGTGCACATGGATCATTAATAATAGGTTATATGCTGGGCCATAAAATAAATCTCCAATATAGAAAGACTGAAATTGTGTAGAGCATATTCTTCAGTCACACAAGCATTAAATTAGAAATAAATAATGTTATCTTGATTTGGAAGATCTCCAAACTTTAAAAATTAAGCCATATATGTGAAAAACCCTATGAATCAAAGAAACACAACAAAATTAGATAATTCTTTGAACTAAAAATGCAATCTTTTGAACTAAAAGAATAAAAACATATCAAAATATGTGAAATTAAGTAAAAGTAGTATTTAGAAGGCAATTTATAACTATATTGTATAGTCATTAAAGAAAAAAATGCATGAGATTGATGAGATAAGTTTACATTTAAGAATTTAGGAAAAGAAGATAAAATTAAATCTCAAAGTAGAGGAAAGGAAATAGCAAAAATAAGAGAAGAAATCAAATAGAAAACGTACAAATATCAAAGAAAATTAACAAAACCAAAGGTTACTTTATTGAAAAGACTAACAAACTTGATTAATCTTTAGACAGATCAAGAAAAAATAGTATAGACAACACATACTGTCAATCTCAGGGAAAAAAAGAATTATTACTACAGATTCTAGTAGATTTTCCATCTTATATAAAGTGTACAAATTCCTTTAAAGACACAAATTATCCCACTTAATACAAAAAGAAATTTTAAAAAACTTAAAAAAACCTATACCTGGTAAAGAAATTAAATTTGTAATTAAAAACTTTTCCACAATAAACACTATATGCCCAGAAGACCTTGTTGAAAAAATTTATCACACATTTAAGAAAGATATAAATCTTACATAAACTCACACATACACACACAGGAAAGGACTCTTCCCAACCCATTTTAGAATATTAGTATATCAAAAATCACCAGATATCAAAAATTTCCAGAACTATAGACTAATATTCCTCATAAACATTGAGGGAAACTTCTTAACAGTGTTAGCACAACAAATCTAGCAACAATTACAAAAAACAATATTTCATGATCAAGTAGAGCATATCCCATGAATGCAAAGTTGGTCTAATATTCAAAATTCAGTCAGTATAAATTACTACTTTATGTACAATAAAAGAGAAATTAGGATTACCTTTATAGATAATAGAGAGATAATAGTAGTATTATTTTAATAGATGCAGAAAAGTAAATGACAAAATTCAACACTCACCTATGACAAAAACTTTTAACAAACTAGAAAGAGAAAGGAACTTCTTCAATCTAATATGCGTAATGTATAAATAGCCTACAGCTAACAGCATACTCCATGGTGAAGTATTAAATCCTTTTTCTCTAAAATTGGGACAGGACAAAGATTCTCAATTCTCATTCATGTGCAAGAAATAAAAGGCAAAATTATGAAGTGGAAAGAAGTTAACTCTCATTATTTACTGATAACATGATTACATATGTAGAAAAATCTATGTAATTACTAAAATAATACTAAGTGGATTATACTTTTATATGCTAACAACAAAAGAATTAGAAAATATTTTTAATACTATTTATTACAGTATCAAAACCTTCAAATATCTAAAAACAAATCTAATGAAATATATGTAATACTTCTACCTTAAAAACTATAAAATAATACTGAAACTTCAAGAATAACCAAATAAATAGAGATAATTGGTCAATGGAACATAATAACAATTATAAAACTAGAATCACAAATGTATGGTCAATTAATTTTTAACCAGGGTGTTAAATAAACTTAATGGGAATAGAAATACCTTTTTTTTCCAGATTTATTGTTAGAAGTGACAAATAAAATTGTAAAATATTTAAAGTGGACAATGTGATATTTTGATAAATGTATACATTGTGAAAAGATTCCCCTATTGACTTAATTAACACAACCACTACCTTACAAATTTACCTTTGTGTGTGTGAGAGAGAGAGAGAACATTTAAGTTCTGCTCTCTTAGCAAGTTTTAATAATACAATACAGTGTTAACAACTATAGTAATCATGTTATACATTAGATCCTCAAAACTTGTTCATCTTATAACTGAAAAGATATGTACCTTTTTATTAACCTCTCCCTATTTCCAATTCACCAGCCCCTGGCAATCACCTTCTTACTTTCTAGTGCTATAAGTGAGACTTAATTTTTTTTTTTTTTAGATTTCACGCATAAGTGAAACCATGTAGTATTTGTCTAATAAATAGTACTAGAACAAGTGGTTATCTATAGAAAAAAAAAAAGAATGTCGACCCCTATCTCATTCTAAACACAAAAATCCAGAATATATCATACTGGCAGCTGACTTAGAACTGGGGAAAACCAGGGAACCCAACTGTTTAATTAAAATAAAACAAGACTTCCACTTATAATCAACATAAAGTAAGGAGGACTGGATTTACCCTCTTAACTGAATCAACCAAAAAAACAAACAAAATATATGAAACAGTAGTTTTAAAGGCACTGAACATTAGCCAGTGAAGAACAGCAATTCCTGAGAAAAGGGAAACAAGCCAGGTGCACCCTACAGTTGTCCCACCTTATGGCCTTGAGTTTCCAGGGTGCAGCACAGAGTGGGGGGAACTCCTTCAGAACCATGCAGACTCCGAGCCAAGGAGACCAAGGAGGACACAGTTCACAGGAAGGAGTACAGGAATGTTGGAATTGTAGGAATCAATATGATGAAATTTATTAAACATCTACCAGGACTTGGTTTTTCTCTCATTTGACACATTCTGTTTATGTTCTTTCCTCCAAAAGGGTTATTATCCAAATCCTGGGTTATTTATTACTCTTCAAAATTTTAGTAAGGCTCAGAATAGGTTAGTTGAAAATGGTTATGTGGGTAACTTAGTGTAAATGATTAAATATGTGTTAGTCATCACAAAACTTGTGAGAGTTAATCTTCACAGTACAGGCCCTGCACTGTGTTCTCTCCTCAACCACAGAGTAAGCAAAGTTAGACGGTGTTCACAGCTGCTTTGTTTCATCTCATGTGACCTGAATTTTAGCAAAGGGTGAAATAATTTTTACTGACAAAAATGTAGAAGGGTTACACAGACCTTTACTACTTGGG